AAGCAGCATAACTCATCATAACTCTGTGCATTGCCTAATGCATGGCGGTCCATCCATCCATCCATCTATCCATCCCTTTAACATACTAAGCAAAGGAAGGAGGGTGAAAAAGAAAGGGTGGAGGGTCAAAAAAGAAAGGGTAGAGGGTGAAAAAAATGTTCGAGGGTGAAAAACAAGGTTTAGATGGTGAAAAAGAAAGGTGGAGGGCTGAAAAAATAATGCGGATTGAAAAAAACAGTTGAAGGATGTTGAAGGATGAAAAAATATTGCCTATTTGATTTAGCTATATAATTTCTAATGTATTTAGATATTTTAATAGAAAACAAAATCAATAAAAAAATCGTTCGATAGCAATATATACTAGAATCTGCGATACCTATGTTTTTTTTTGAAACAATTTTTTGCAATTGATTGTTTGTTTAAATATTATATGACCCCTTTATTATAAAAATTATTGGAGGGCGATGTACGAATTAATTGTGTGTATTTAATATTAGATTTTTGGATAATTAATATATTGATAATTTTGAAGTTGAAAAAATATCCATAATTGTTTAGATTTATTTGGGATTAATTGTAATTATTTTTATTTGATAAATAATTAGAATTGGTGGAGAGATTGTGTGAATTTTAAATTAAATTAAAAGGCTTGGAAAAAAAGAAAAATATAATAATTAAAATACTTAAGGATATGAACATATATTTTATAAAGATTAAGATTTAGTGGTAATTTAAATTATCGAATATATTATTGATGATGGGAATGTATTTTTGATTAGCAATTTATAAAAGGAAATATGATATAATCTAATATTTAGATATCTATTTTTGATTTTGATGAAAATATGAATATATTTATATATATAATTGTATTTGGAAAGATTTTGATTGATATTTGAAAATTTGTTTGTAAATGGTTTTCGTATTAAAAATATATGTTGATATTTGATATTAAAGGAATTTAATTGTCGGATTTTTTGAAATCGTGATATATCGTGATTGAGATTATATATTTTCTTGAAATATATATAATGGATTATGATTGTAGATTAATACGGATTTAGTTAATATTTAATTCGTAAATGAATGAATATATATATTTTTTATTAATAGATTTGAATTTATAATTTATAAAACAAATAAATAATATAATTGAATTTATTTAATACTATTACTATTATGGATTGGGGGGCGATCGAGCAAAAATATGCGGATTTTAGAAGTAAAATAATTGAAATAATCGAATTATATTTTTATATTTTCGTTTTATATTTTTATTTTGGATCTTTTATAAATAATTTATGATCTTTATTAGGATATATTTTTTTTCTTAGCTAATTGTATTATTTTATATATTTCGATTTTTGAATCTAAGAAATAATTTAATGTTTTGATATATTTTATTTTCGTCTTGGGGTATGCATTATTAAGCAATTCCGTTAGATTCCGACGCCGTCGATCGCGGATTCGAATCTCGCATGGTCCATTATAGACACCCTTGATTTATTTCGAAATTATTCGCAACGACCGCGTTGATTCCATATTTTTCACTTGGACGCTAGCGCTTTCCGCTGCAACATTCGGCCGCATGCACAAGGGATCGATTTTTTGCATTGGGGAGAACCCCAATATGTGACCAGGAGGCAGTGGGTCAAACCTGCCAGCTCCAGCTCCATTTGCTAGTAGTTTGACTGGTGACTGGTAACTCAGGACCCAAAAGCGTTGTTGTCGCCCCCGTCATCGGCAGCTTGGCAGGAGGGCCCAGCTGAAAACATACAATCCAATAGCATATTAAATATATGCTAAAATATTATAATCTGTAATTTGTATGATATATTTCTAGCTTTCGGTATAGTGCCCCAGACCTCTCGACCAAGGGACCGAGCATAGCGTAATTCTAGATGGATTTGGACTGGATTTTGAATGGATTTGTGTTGGTTTGGAATGATGTCTCGGCGTCTTGTTACCCCTGTTGTCGTGCCCGCCCTTGGTTGGCTGCAGGCAACTTAGCGGGTCGCCAACTGACACTAGACCTGTCTCGGGCTCAGATAAAGTCCTATGCTGCGACGAAGCATCATTATATTTTATAAGGTTTCGAGCTGTTGCTTTAGGCTTGGAACAAAGTAGAAAAATCACCATTAATAAAGAAATCAATTTCAAGGTATTGAAATAATTTGCGATTTTGACATTGCCTCTATCATAGGCACAACGCAAGCGGGTGGGTCGCCAACTCACGCCGATTTATTTGCGGGTCAGAAGAAGTCCTTTGTTGAGAAGAAATATTACTATTTAATGGGGGTTCAATCTTGGAACTTTCATAAAAAATTATGCACTGCAAATAAATGCAAAGAATTCGTAGATGCATATATATATATTTATACCAAAATATTGAATCGATATAGATAATATGTCAATATCATTTCAGCATTGCTCAGATTCCGATCAGTCCGGATCCCTTGACACCATCGCTCAGCTCTCAGGAAGCGACAACTTGGTTGAAGCGTGAGTGTCGCGTAGCAATCCGACTGCAGCTCCTGAAGTGGCAGGCCGGCAGGCGACAGCCACTCGGACGTGTATCCATTGGTCAACCTAAACGATCAATTGCAGTGGGTGGCTGTCCGCGGTTTCTGGCAGTTCTGGCGCAACGCTTTGCGATCTGTGGCATTGACCTCTGTCTTGTTCGCCATCCGCCACAAAGGCTGCTGCAAGTGACAAGGAACTTGCAGAAAGTAATCGACGAGACCTGCAACAGAACCGGGCGGCAGCGAGTGCCGCTGTCGTGGCGGTCACAGAGAATGTGCTTTGTTGTTGCATGAAATTCGTTGATGCGATGAATGAAAGCCAGGCCCATGTTCCCTATTGACGGCCAAGAAGGAAAAAACGGTCCGTGTTTTGTCGGTTTGTTAATTTCTTCATTTGTTGATCTATCGGTTTCGAATTTTGAGGATCGTCTTTTTCCGTTGTTGTAAATAGCGGGCCGACCCTAATTCTATTATAGATATTTTCTTTGTAAAATACATGACCTTGAAAATCGGCTTTGTGTCATTTAATCCCCACGCGGGAAGACAGAATATATCAGCCCCGAGAGACTAAACATAAAAGCAATCGAGGACATTACATCATTCAATTTTTAGATAAATTTGGAAAACATTGTTTATATTGCAATGCTTGGTTATTTTAAATATTCATTCATTCATCAAATTGGCGACATAAAAATGAAGAGTAGATGGCCCAATTTGTTTGACAGATTTTCTCTTGCACTTTGACCACGGTTACGTCATCTATTGGCCCTTGTCTGCTTATTGAATTGTGCCATCTACTCCTTAAGAGGGGAACGCAACAAAAATAGGGCTGGTAGATTCGATCAAAGGCCATTGTGTCAATTATATTGTCTTTTTCCTTTTCCTTCTTCTTTTCTAATGTTTCCTTTGCCTGGGACTTGCATTGCTGTCCTGTTGTTTCCGGAACTAGCAGTTGGGCCGCAAGGCAATGACCACCCACAGCATGATATGCAACAAGGCACCTCTGGCCCTCTGAAAAGTTGCGTCATCTATTCCTTCCATTTTTGTCCTTTTCCCTTATCATTTTCCTTTCCCTGGGGCTTGCACGGGTGTCTTGTTGCTCCCGGCACTGGCAATGGCAAAATTGGACTACAAGACAATGAATATCTACGACCCATGATATGCAGCAAGACACTCTTGGATATTTATAAATGTTGCGCTATCTACTCACTCCATTGCTATCGCTTTCCCTTGTCCTTTCCTTTTATCTTTTCCTTATTCCTTTTCCTTTTCCCTTTTGCCAAAATAGAAAGCAAAGGACATGTCTATAAGTGTGAGTCAAATAGATTACTCATCATTTTTGGCGCTGATAAATCCTGCTACCACAATAGCAAATTTTTATTGTGGCATGGATTGTATTTTTGGGTGGGTAGATAATACTCTCTTCCAAATTGGGGTTGCGTCATTGTATTTTATGGAATATAGATATAGTTATATATATATGATATTCAATTGTAATATTAAATATGTTTATTATGATTGAATTGAAACATAAAAATTGATATTTTTATATAGAATATTCGTATATATATCTAAATTAATGTTAGTTTATAGTAAATATATTTCATATTATATAGATGAATTAGATATTGATTCTAATTAGATATTTTATTATGTTACGTCATATAAATTTTTGATTCATATAATTATGATATATATTTTTAAATATATAAAGAAATATATATAATATATTTATTTTAGATTAATGATTCATTGATTTATATTATGAT